GCAGGCTGAAGAGATGCTAATGCAAATGGGTCACAACTGCCAGAGAGGTCTCTGTGGTACTTACCAAATTCACTTGTACCCGGTTTTAAGCCAGAAATGGGAGAGTGGATTGGAGATTCAGTGCTGCTGTAATATTGCGGTTTAACTCGAAACCCCTGTTTCACTCTGAGGCGCTCTCTGGATAAGAAAGCCTGTGTTAGGTAAAATAGTACTGACAAATATACGTCGGTAAGCATGTTGCGGTTTCAGTCGTCCGCAAAAAGAATTTCGAGTCAGGGAGTTGAACGGTGAGGGAGTGTACTTAGAGACAAATTCCGCCTTCACTGCATCATTGGTGTCATATGGGAATTCGCGTATGTTTCAAAAGCAGACGCACAGTGAGGAATGTCGGGGAGATTTTGAATCGATAAGTAAATTGCTGGCATTAAAATAAAGAAATGGCTGGATATGAGTTGGAAGAGAGCAGCTGCTTACCTTATGGTACACATGAAGCTGACTGGAAAGATGGTTAGCAAAACTATTTAATACAGAGCTCGCTAGGCTCTGAGAGTATGGTTGTGACCGGAAAGACCTTCTTGGCGAATTCAGGGTGAGGAATAGCACAGCGGAATATAGTTCAACTGAGCTGCCACGGGGAGGGACTGCGTGCTATATCGCGCTGAGAGTAGGATACTTTTCTACAGAAGTGTTGTTGAACGTCAGATTGCAGAACTGTTCTAACTTTGATGAAATGAAGTCACAGTGATTTCGAAGGTCACTTTTTGGTTGGAAATGAGGGGCCGGAAATGAATAAAGGACTTTCTTCAGAAGAGGAAGAAAGAGCATGGATGTGAGCGGGGAAAGGAGCCACAGAGGCAGAGGTCTGCTTGTTTGCCCAGCAGCAGCCCATGGTCGAAACCAGTATTTTCTGTACATGCATAGGTAATTGACAGTTGCCTTCACTGATACACTCATACACAGGGTTGCCACATTTCCTGAGCATATAGTTACTCTTTTGAAAACGAAGCCTTTTATTCCCCCCACGGATTCTGAAATATTACGACAACGGTGGGGTTGTAGCCGACTTATGTTTCTCTTTAATCTTGTTGCAAAATAATCTATCATCCACAACTGCCAACCATCGCCTGGTTACATAAGGGTCGGGAGTCTAACATCAAAACTCCGAAACCAAACTATACTTCAACACGGTTAACCTGAACACAATAATGAAAATAATCAGGCATCTCCTCAGCTCCTGAAAGACATATTCTTAAATGAAAAAGAGAAAGCTCTTCGCAAAATCGAGTAGTACTCGTAAATTTTCAAGTCGGTGACACCGACCCGTCGTCAGACGAAATGAACAGAGGGGAAAGTGAAAACAGCAGACTAGGTCGGCTGGCGCGACAGGACAGACAACGACAAACAGACGACGGATTCGTGATAAGGGTGGACACCGAGTTATGGTAGGCTGTGGGGCAGGGGGAGGGAAGGAAGAACCGTTAGGGATCCCGGTGTTGGAGGTAGAGAAAACGCGGCGGGATTGCGGATCAGTGGGAATGCGGGCGGCTGGTCGCTGATGCGGGATGAGGTCAGGGGGCAATGCGCCGGCGTTGGAGGTGTTAGGGATTTCGGTTGTTGTTCGCAGTGTCGCAAGGGGGGGGGGCGGAATGGCGAAACAGGATACGTCTATGTGGCCGAGTGGGGGTTAGCACTTGTTAGGGTGGGGGAACAAGACAGTGAGCGTGTACGTAAGCCCTCGTAGTGAGCGTCTAGATTGTCGTGGCGGTTGATGCTGGTCGTGCCGGAATGCCAAGCTTCGAGGAATTCTCGCGCTGTAGACCCGACTACAAAAACAAGCCGTGGCTATCAAGAAGAAAGTGAATGAGCTTGCCCGATTGAAGCTCATAAGCCCCGATGACAGCAGATCTATGGCCCTCCATGACCCCCGTATCGCACGTGCGTACGGTCTTCCGAAGGTACACAAGACAGATGCGCCGCTCAGGATCATAGTGCCACTTTTTGGATCCCCTACTTACAACCTTGCCAAGTGGTTATACAGACGTTTAAAGCACCTCACAAATGGATCGCAATGCAGCATCAAAATTCTCAGGCTTTCCTACAACAGATCCAAGGCCTTGAAGTAGGTCCTGACGAATGCATCCTATCGTTCGATGTTGCTGCCTTGTTTTCTTCAATACCGCATGACCTAGCGATTGACAGCGTAATCCGATGTCCAGAGCAAAGTCCCATTGGCATTCCAACACAGAATGTTCTAGACATGCTTAATCTTTGCCTCAAGAATTATTGTCAATTCGATGGCAAGTACTACCAACAAGTAAAGGGCACTCCAATGGGCTCCCCAATATCGGGGCTGTTTGCAGAACTAGTCTTGCAGATACTAGAAGAGGATGCTATGCAATCCTTCGAACAAAAAAAAAATGGCTCCGCTACGACCAGCAAAGTTGAGCGATTGCACCAGAACTTAAATAGCGTCTTCTCGGCTATACAGCTCACTCGCGAAGAAACAACAGGAGATACTCTCCCGTTCTTATATGTGAGTATACAAAGACTTGGTGATGGCAAACTAGCAGCAAGCGTCCACAGAAAAGACTCTAGTGCCGAAATTATACTTAACTATGGGAACAGTCATCCTGCGGCCCATTAACGAAGCTGTGTCCGCACTCTTTTCCATCGGGCCTATTGCATCTGCAACAATGCTGACGTACTTAAGAAATAATTGGTCTATTTACATCGGTTATTCCGGTTCAACGGATATCCTGCCAGTTTTGCTAAGAACTGTCTCAGACACCAGAGATGACCACCAAGTCCCGAGTCCAATGGAAATAGAGAGTCGCGGAAATTCTATTCACTATCGTACATTCAGGGAATTTCTGAAACACTCTCCCGACAATTATAACGCTTTGGCATCTCCATTGCCCATAGGCCCGCGTCTTCCCTACGCGAGACATTATGCCGAGTAAAGGACCCGGTGCACAAAGAACAAATAACTAACGTCATCTACCATATCCCGTGCGCCAACAGCCCTTGTGTTTATATTGGCCATACAGGCCGATGTCTTGGGACTCGCATTAACGAGCACAAGTTAGCCCTCCGCCGACGTGACCCTCTGTCTCTCGTGTTGGCGCACGCCCTAGAGCGTGACAACCGCGTCAATTGGGACGATACTGATGTGATCGCAAAGGCTAACACCAGACAGGCGCGAGAATTCCTCGAAGCTTGGCATTCCGGCACGACCAGCATCAACCGCCACGACAATCTAGACGCTCACTACGAGGGCTTACGTACACGCTCACTGTCTTGTTCCCCCACCCTAACAAGTGCTAACCCCCACTCGGCCACATAGACGTATCCTGTTTCGCCATTCCGCCCCCCCCCCTTGCGACACTGCGAACAACAACCGAAATCCCTAACACCTCCAACGCCGGCGCATTGCCCCCTGACCTCATCCCGCATCAGCGACCAGCCGCCCGCATTCCCACTGATCCGCAATCCCGCCGCGTTTTCTCTACCTCCAACACCGGGATCCCTAACGGTTCTTCCTTCCCTCCCCCTGCCCCACAGCCTACCATAACTCGGTGTCCACCCTTATCACGAATCCGTCGTCTGTTTGTCATTGTCTGTCCTGTACCACTAAAATTCGAGACAGTTTGTTTGTCTGTACAGACCTGACGCTTTTCCGATTATTTGTTACTTTATGATACCTTTTCGAGTTTTTGAGATTTTGCAGTTGCTTGTAAACAAATAGGGAGTTCAAAGGTGAAGACCTACATTTCCCTCAATAAACTGAACTGAACTGAACTGTCGCGCCAGCCGACCTAGTCTGCTGTTTTCACTTTCCCCTCTGTTCATTTCGTCTGACGACGGGTCGGTGTCACCGACTTGAAAATTTACGAGTACTACTCGATTTTGCGAAGAGCCTTCTCTTTTTCATTATATCACCTCTGAATGCACACCACATCAGTTTTTCAACACATTCTTAACCATCCATAAACAAACCAAAGACTTGGAACTAAAGCGTACCAGCTGGGTTATTATCAACAGACGGGTTCCAGGCTGAAAACGGAAGTATTTGTTTTCAATTTAATGGGGATGTGGGTATAATTTTCTGACATAACACTGGACGGAGTGAAGATCGCATGACTGTTATTGGGAGTTGTGTTCAACCGTGAGTCTACAGCGCTGGTGATTCTGCTTAACTAACTATTATCCGGGCCCGACTGACACTAATCTGCTGACGAAGAACACAGACACATCGATCTCCCTCACCAACCAGTGATTTTGGGTTTTAGTATTCAGGCGCATAACACTACGCGGCTTAGAGACGAACATTCCGCTCAATCTACCGGTTGGGTCGAAGTGACATTTTACCGCGCTGTATAGTCATTTACTACGCCGAGCTACCCCAACCGGCCCCGGACTGTTGGGTGGCTGACATCACTAGGCTTCAGAGGTTGGGCACGTTCGTAAATTTTCTGATTCATCTTCTGCGAGACTCTTTTGACAGATAACGTGAAGCGGGATTCCAGTAGATCTTCAAGGGACTCTCATCCAGAAAATGCACTCAGTTGACGGCACGAGCATCCAGCCTGACAACTGCTCCGTAAGAGGCAGTCTAGGGGAGCTGCAATGCGCTTTTTAAGAAACTAGCCATCACAGCGTGCAAGTGCATGGTGAAGTCCACCACCGGTGTCATGAACGTTCGATACGCAGGTAACGTGCGTGGGTTTTACAATCCCTACTCGTTGATTGGTGGTCTTCGAAGCAAGCCCTAAAGAGCGCTAGGGAAGGCAGCGCATGGCTGCCCGTAAACCTGCCTGCTTCCCATTGGCGGATGGCAATACGGAAGTGGGCGACAGAAACTGCCGGCCAAGGCAGACTCCTTGCGCTGTTTACAAGTGCATCTGGTCTGCCCAACAGTCAGCGTCTCTGCACAGTCGGATTTTTTATAACATCAGCCAGGTATACAAGGACTTTCTCACTAAGGCACGAAGAGGCCGAAAATGCCAGTTGCAGGATCTGGGGCGGTATGCTTATTACATTTAAAATAGTTTACTTTGCTTAAGCAAAATGCTTTGAGTTACTTGCAGTCGTAGAAGACGAATCATAGCTTTGTTTCACTATACACAATATATTTGGACAGACTAGCCGGCGACAACACTGACTACCTAAGACAGAAGCCTTTTCTCAGATGGGGACTTTTCCGAGGGTAAAAAGGGAAAAAAACAAAGCAACCTGCCATGTGGCGCTGTCCGGCAATTAATTAACATAACTTTACGAATAAAAGTACAACGCCAAACAACCTGTTTGATGTCACTGCTTAGGCCTCTAGGTAGCAAACGCACCCATCACAATTTGGACTATGTGTGGAGCGGACAATAGTCTATATCTGTTTAACAGTTAGTTACCAAATCTCACCTACTGATCGATTTTCTGGTCCTGAAAGTTCAAAAATCTTTTGGTCATGTGACTCAAAATCTTAAGACTTAAAATTTCGAGCGCTAGAGTCATGCTCAATTTAGGATTTTGTAAATTTGAAATGTAGGGCATTCAGGCCAATTTTAGACGAGCCTTATGACCAAAAACCGTGCATAAAAACGGTTGCTTGAATTGCAAAGAATCGGCCTTGACATTACGGGTGCCATCTCTGTGAATGACTCAGGAAAAACTTTTGGGGCATTTTGGTACCCAAAGTTCCTAACGGTTAGTTTGAAGTTCGCATAAGAATTAGAGGATTCTTTTGCCAAACTTCGATGGGCTGTACACTTCCACAAAACGAGGCGACAAGACAGTAAGTAATAAGCAGATGTGCAACTGCAAACCAGGAATTACACCGGAAAGAGACGTAGTTGAATTGTCATAAAGACGAAATTCTCACTTTAAGCACGCAAATCTCGTGACCGTCGTTACGCCATTGGGCCACGAAAATGCACTCTTTCACGTACATAACTAATGGCTTGTTGTCATGTGAGCTCTTGCATGGGCGAACGTTCTGAGCTCAAAGCCAGCATATTCTCTTCACGCTCACCCGGTGGGACTCTATGTTCCTGCTTGAGGCCAGAAAGAGGTAGGTCGTCGAGTCAGGCGGTCGCGCGTTTGAATGAAATCACTGGATGACCAACTTTGATGTGGGTCCCCATTGCTGGCCTTTCGGGGTTACTTGCAGTTACTTGCAGGGATGTGGAACAGCTGACCCTTGACTTCAAATAGGACATAAAGTGCCAGTTTGATTGGTAGTCTGCATAGCAAAAATTGAAATTGTTTTGAATTCCTCTCAGAATATGTTTGATTAAGTTAAGCCTCCTGCCATCCGGCAAGAACGAAACATTTGATTTTGTTGGCATCACACACAAGCTTCTATAGTGTTCCTTCCATTAGTCGCCATAATTTTGGCACAATTGTTTATAAAATATTCTTTACTGTCTTTTACCAAAATTATTACTTTCCCCCAAAATGTTCAGGGATTTTGGTTTTTAATGTAGTGCGAGAGATTTCTTCGAAATGGAGCAAGATGAATGGATTAATATGATGTTGTAAAGCCAAACTACTATACACCATGCAAAGCAAATGTAATTGAAACAGAGGCGCTAATAAAGTAGATAGAAGAAAGTTTTAAGTAGTCACGCAAATGCACAATAACCGATACATCTCACTTCGAGAAGAGGAAAACATCCAGCTAATGTTCGCAGTTGCCCTGGTTGGAAATGTTTGATCTAACTGGTGACCTGGTAAATCGAATCTGTCAATTAAGGTAGCAGTTTCTTTCCACTTTCAAACAGACACTGTCATGTACTTGTAGCCATGCCCAGAGGAGCACCCAAGGGTTAGCTCTAGTAAGTGGACGACAGAACGTCAGTGCCGCTCAGTATATGCATTAGCTAGGGTCTGCCAATCCCTTGCAATGTTGAAGAAAACACGTCGATTGGGTATTTATGCTCATAGATGGTAGAACTAAGACCGGAGCTTACGCCACGAAATCCATCGAACTCAGCCACATTTCTAGTTAGCCCAGGATGGACATACCGCGGAAAGTGAGAGTAGGATAGTTTCCGGCACTTAACGTTCTCACAAGAAACAAACAGACAAGCAAATACGCTTTAGAACGGTCAAAATGCGACAACAGTTGTCGTTAGAGAAGCATCAAATTTAGAAGATAACCTGGTCCTACTTCGAACTGAAACAGGCTGGAATGGCTTTTTCTTCGTAGAGTTCGCATGACGCTTTCACGTATGGGAGGTCTGAGACTGGGGAGGGGGTAGGAGCCAGCACTCAGGTTGTCCGCACTGACATAACATCAGTCTGTTGCCAGCCACAGACGAGAATGCGGTGGTTATGGGAAAAGAAAGGGTGTAGTAGCTGCAACACAAGTCTGTTTTAGGATAGAGGAATTCAATCGTAAGTTACCGCATTGTCCTCTCCGAGGCGGAGTATTCTTCGTCGCTTGCTGCTGACGGCTCATTTAGTACTACTGTTCAGATGCAAGAGTTCTATATAGCTCATTTTTTTGAGCACCAGAGGGAATCCCCGTAAATAAGCTCAATGCACTATATCGTCGACTATTAATAAACACTGTTATTCGACCGCTCTGATTTCTATAAGACCGGTGTGACTTGCTGTTGCGTGCTAGTAGGCAAAGAGTACTCAGTTGTGGCTGCTCGAACAGTTAACTCCATCATTATTAGGTCATCTCCCTTTGTAACAAATTTTCGTTCACTGATGAATGTTGAATTTGTTCTTGTTGTTGTCATGGGTGTGCATGCGTTCCACAAGACCACTTCGTGTCATTTATTTGTGTTTTTCATAATGATGCACGAAAAGAACTAGGTTCTTGGTTGGCGTATGGCTAGAGGTTCCTTTCCGGTCTTCTTTGTACCATTCCTTGAACCCCTGCTTTTGTTGCGTTGCTATACGACCGTTAAGATGTTTTGGCGGGCACTGGCCCGATATCCCCTGCCGCATGACAGATTCAGAGTAAATTAGCCGTCCTTTGTAGCGTAGCTCTGCCGAAAGTGCTGAGCGATCCTAAGAACTGGAAATGGGAATCCTTTTTACTGTAGCTTCAGAATTTGCATTCACCGAAGACAGCTGACCAGAAAACGGATGTACATCCCCTACTGGCAGAGACGAGCTATAGCTTCCTGTCCATACAGAAGCATAGACTGGACAACGGGTTAATGCGTTGTCAGCTTAAAATGCATACGAAATCCTGTCTAATTAATAGCTAGACAGTAAAGCATCCCTATAGTCGCCCAGGGTTTATTCCTGTTCTAATGTTCTGTGCTCATTAATATGCGACTTAAGTAACGATACTTTTTGATTTGTCGGGGATACATCAACAGACTTAGTAATTGAAGAGATTGATGAGAATTCGTACGTAACAAGGATTGAAACCAACAGCTTGGGTGGGGAAGAGTTGCGATATTAGATGTCTTTCTTTCCAAGGGTTAGGTCTACTAGGCGAATTAAAGTTCAAGTGAACAGGCAAAACTAACAATCGTATTCAGTAGTAGCATTACAGAGCAGGAGAAGTCAGAAGGATACAACTATTCTCAGAGACTAAATTTTCTGTTGCATGGATCTCAGAAGTAAGCGAATCTTCAAAAAAATAACCCCCAGTTACTGTGAGGCCGAATATCTTACGACGGTTCCAGTCGGTTAGCCGCAACTACTGAACGTGCCGTCTTCTCTGTCCTACTTGTATATCGATTGTTTGTGTACAGGTTGTCTCCCCAGAAAAATGCAATTCACACTGTCGCATATCTCACATTTAGGTGGCGTACAAAATCTGCAAACAAAATCAGAGAGGCAGTTCACTGGCTGGCGTCTAGGTCTACCTACGTGCCTCAGAAAACCCTACAGTCCGTTAGCGTGTAAGATTACTGCGAATAGTTCGCTCCGTAGAAATGACACATTAAATTGGAAAATACTTGAAAAATTAAGTCCGCTGACAAATCTCCTGGATGCAATGTCTGCTTAGAAAATATCCTTAGGACCCCAAGAGTCCTAATCCTTACAAATACTTACCTATGAGAAAGTTTTGCCGACGTTTTTGGCTAGCATTCTTTCCAAATTGGTTGGTCGGTAGGTTAACTTTCAGTGAAAAAACCAGGCCGGGTGAAGTATGTCCCAGTTACGTCTTTACGGACTGCGAGTTCCTGTTATTCTGCAACTTGCTCTACGAGAACAGGGTATACTTTCTTCCAAGAAGTTTCTGAAGATTGCTTCCGAAACGCCTGGAGAACCACACAAATATGCCGGACCATTTCGAAGGAAACCCGCTGCGAAATTTGGCGTCACCGAACCGACGGCATTCTGATGGCAGACGTTTATGTTATTTCACATCCAAAGAGATCAGTTATGCAATAGGTTAGACAGTTGACAGTAAGCTTCGCCTTAAAACAGGTTTCCAAGCAGGTTTCCTTGATTTCGATTATTTCCGTTTTTTGTTTTACTGATCGATCTCCCATCTGGCTGGCCTAGATGAATCCACTCTCCTTGTGGACTAAACTGCTGTAGTGTAATGTCACGTCCAAAAGCGCTTCTGGTCGTAGTACTGTTTCGAGTCATTCTTGGGAAAATTTCTCTAAACAAATGTTTGCTCGAAAACCACACCTATCATGACTTACTTCTTTCAGAATCTGACATCATCTTTGTCATACTACTGCTGCGGCAGGTGTGACTTGGACGAAAAACTGTCCGACATATGTCTTTTAATGGTCATATGTTTGGGCCTCAATAAATATCGAGATGCTATGCGGTCAGGATGAAAAAACTATGAAATAACCGAGTGGCACCATAGATTAATATTTTCTTGAGGGTCTACAGAAGGAGAAGACAATTTCTTGCTCCAGGTTTTTTTTCATTTAACTTTGAAAATGCCGCGCGGAGTGTCTTATAAAATTTCCAGAGAGTAAGGCATACCAAAACATCCCCTTTGAGTTAATTTGTTGGAAGTGAACATCTTCAGCTTTCACTGCGAACCTGCGACGCACCTGTTACCCTCTTCGGCCAATAGGCTGGGCTAAATGTGCGAACTCTTGATGATTCACTGATAGGAGGAGCATGACCGGGATTGGCTGAAACACCAGGCCAGCCAATCAGCGCACAGATCCGTTTGTCATGACTGCGTCAAGCACGGCACAGGCACTGGGTAAATGATATTGCCATGTCCTACTAAATGGCGTGAGCACTTTCGTGAGAATGGGTCAATAAACATGCACACTGAAACACTGCCCCAAATGATTGCTGCCGAACTGTTACGTAATTGGTTTTTTTGCGAGGCGACGCCCAAAGTACGGACGTTCTTGACTCTTGCGCGACAGGAGAGGCATTGCGCTAAAAGGTCAGCACATATCAGGAGTGTAACTGTATCGGACGGGTGATAATGGCAACCTCGACAATAGATGAAAAAACCGCTCAGCATCACAAAAAACGGTCAGGGGATGGACGAAGAGCACAGTCAGCGGGGTCTGACAAAAGCAGACATCGCGAATACATGCTGGATGCGCCGCCACGAAACTATGAAAGGCGACACTTCCCCGACCTGCTGAGTGCTAATCTTACTCCGCCATGGGCAACTTACAGCAGCAGCGAAAGCAACTCCAGCGAGTCTGAGACCTCTTTGACACACGACTTTGAAGAAGACAGTCTGGCGAAAGAAAACATTTGTACAAGATACGCGAGTGACTTGCCTGCTCTTCATGCTTCTGTCTTTGAGCTCAACTTACCTTCCGTGCCCGGGGCGGAGCTGACGAGATCAATCTCAGGGGACGGATTGAGTCGAGAATTTCCACCCAAATACATCATTCTACCCACAACCTACTTCGGTTTGGCAAACAGTCCTTCAAGTTACCGAGACGATAGTCCGCCAGCATCTTCGCGTTGGCGCACCGGACGTCATAGATGGCAGAAGTCGAAGCGCAATGCATCCCTCACCGACCGTCCGCCCTTCTATCCACCTGGGCCGAATCAGCACTCGGCACGTGGCATAGGATCCACTTTTGATAGAAGTCAGCGAATGAGAGAGGCACGACAGCTCTATCGATCTCCGCAGAGTAGGAGGGCACTTGGTACACCAGCTTGTTACAGAGGTTCTTCGAGTCTCTCTTCTCTACGAAACCGCTGCTCCCCAGTCTGGAATGCCCAGGCCACTTCACAGTCCCTCTCTGAAGACACTGCAAACAGACGTATGCCTCTGAGGATTAAACGCCCCATAAGTCACCAAGTCGAGAACAGGAGAAGGGATTTGTGGCGGTCTGAGCCGCAGCTTGATAGAACTGGCACTCGCTCAAAGTCCAAGAGGAGCGGAAAAGGGAAGGAATGGTTATTACCGGTGAAGGCTTACAAGGCCTCTCCCGTACAATGCTCCTATTGGCTACCTGCTGGCGATTTGTTCGAGGAATATCGTGACAACTTGGCAAAATTTTCTAAGGCCAAGCGGTATCCTCTTCCTCTTAAATCTCTTCAGCCACAAAAAACGACCCTCTGGTACCGTTCTGATCCTGATCTTGCTTTAACTACGACTGAAAGCGAACTAGAGAAGACGGAGGCGACGTCTTCAGTTACTCAGATAACCGGACGCTTGAAGTATCAAAGTCCGGAAAGATCTGTCTGGTTAAAGCAAGGAAGTGAATTCCAGCCCTCCGAAAGTGGCGCCTACGACCGTGAGGGTATGAACGTGCTTGTGCCCCGTTGTCTTGCTAGTTCACCTATCCAAATAAATCGGACATACACGAAGAGTCAGCGCGTGGCATACGAACAAGAGCTAAATACTCTGCGAGAGGGAGTGAATTTGCAGTCAAGCACGGACACAGCACCTAAGACGTCGACAGACGAACGATTTCCGGCCTACAGGACTCCTTCAGTAAGCCCGTAACAGTATTTGCCGTCGTTGGGACTAAAGAAAAAACCTTCATACGACTCGTATAAGAGATTACAGAGGACTAAATGGAAGACAACGTAATTGGGTCGTTGTAGGGCGAGCTCAAGTCGCCGACCTTCGTTGCACTACCTCACGAAACTGACATTTAGGGGCCCTGTGACTCAATTCATCGTTCATTTTTGACTGATATCCTCCGCATAGATCTTAGCTATAGCGGTAATACGTCGTTTTACACCAAGCAGCTGTCCATTTCTTCCTATAATCTCCGAAATGAGCTTGAGGATAACCGACCATAATTAAGATGCATAGTATGAAAAGAGGTTTTCTAGTGCTTATATATGCTAGTCATTCTCGGGGAATAATAGGCTTTTTTTATCGACTATTTAACCTACCTCCCCATGACAACACAAATTTATAGCATCCATTGTTAAATTGAGGCGAAAAAGCGACTTGATTTCACATTAAGACAAACGTTTTAACGTCCCTGTAGTCTGGTATGCAGACTCTATGAACTGCCACTGTTGGTGACAGTTTTAAATGTATCATGAGGTATCCTACACCTGCGAAGCATTTGGACGGCTGAGGCAGAATTAAACTTGCATTACGATGAATACTAGTGCTTGAAAGAATTTTGAGACAAGAAATACCATTAGTCAAACGAAAAGGAATTATTTTCAACTATTTTCCGGTTCTACATGAGAAAGTGGCGTAGGCTAACTCAAGCACAGTAGAGCTATCAAAGAGCAGACAGGAAACGTTTTCAACAGATCCGCTTTTAGGACGAACCATGACGAATCATCTTTAAGGTTACTGTTTACAAGGTGTATAGAATTTATTTAAACATATCCCTTCGTTCAATCCATTTTCGTCGTTCGCCTATCACAGGACTCCAGTCATCTAACTAAGAATAGGGCACGTCATGGGAAGGATTTTAGTGGATAGGAAAAGTTGATTCGGAGAATGTTTTCGTGCATAATCAGGAAAAAATCAGCACATATACACTAAAACACCATAAAAATGATCTGATTTGTTGGTAACATGATAAAAATGCAAATAACATGTGCGCTGATAGGCAAAGGAGGTTATCTTGAGCAGCTATTGCAAGAAACTAGTAAATTTTAGAAAACTGTCAAATTCGAATTTTTGTGAATATTTCCCACGGCTACCAAAAAATGAGGACTTCCTCCGTGGTTTCATTGGTGGTGCTGGAAAAACAAGTTCATAGTAACATGTCGGGCGTGTACTCTTAGAGGTCAGAGCCATTTAATTCAAGACACTGCAGCTCGTCGACGCGTTTCCAATTCATCCTCACTTTCAGATCCACTGAAAACGAGCCTACAGATTAGTCCATCCTTAACACTATTTCTTAAAATAAATCGATTTGAAAAGTTTGTCAACAGGACTGATTACCTCACTTGGGCTACCAAAATGCAAAAATAAAGTTACAGTTGAAAAAAACGGTTTCAGCTTCAAAAAAATTTCCCTGGTTAAAATTTATCCATTTGTTAAAAAACTTGTGAATTTGGCAGTATTCTTTTTAAAGCTAGGACGTTTTGCGACTCAGGGCATTTGAGCATTTTTCAATTGCATGATTCGCGTATCTCTTATGGTTTGTCGAAAATACATGTTTTAATTTCTCTAGACATTTCTTCATATTTTTTGCAAAGCGAACTGTCAACCAGTCCAGGATTAAGTGGAATTAATCTCCATAACTAGCATCCCATTCATTTGTTAAAGTTCGTTAAGTCGCCGTCGGTTTTTCCTACTAGAGCCTCTTGTCCTACAGGAAGTACTTTTTGGCTTAAATAGCATGTAAAATGACTGAAACTCAAGAAAAATTTTAGACTATTGATTTCGTTTTTGCGAGCATGATACACTGAACTCTTTGATTGCCCCGTTCAAAGCCTAAAAGCCTACAGTGTTCGGGCCTCCAGACGGCTCCATTCAGGTTATCGAATTTCTGCATTGTCTGGGGGAGGAATCAGTGGCACAGAGAAGTGAGTTTAAGCTATGCCAAGCAATGAAGACCGCAAGTCACCCAGGGAGTGTCGTGGTGGCTGAACTAAATGAGGATAAACCTGCCCTGCGTGTACCTCGTTCTGTCCTTTCACACTTACCCTATTCCATTTTTAAAACAAATTCGAGGTGATGAGAGTGGGGGAGACCCAGAAGGCAGTAAAAGCAATCAAAGACAGCCGTGGCTTGGTGAATACGCCCTTGTCTACCTCTCTCAACGTGTTCCAAGTCCTGACTTGAGAGGTTGCCAACTGATTGGGCAACTTGGTCTTTCGCAGGCCTGAGGGTCAGGTTTCAGTAGTTGCTTCTTAATATGGCCGCTATGCCACTCTCACCTAAGAGAGATCCGAGACCTCCCTGAGAGCAGCTTTTCATATACCGGGGGAGCAGGCCGTGTATGTTACTCATAGGTCGCCTGTTTAGCTATGTCATCTACTACGTCCGAGCCCATCTTTCGTCATATTGACTTTGCTTTGGCGTCAAAACATGTCGGGTTTGAGAGGAGGCGCCATGGTAAGTGCAGACTAACTCTGCTCCACTATAAAAAAACCAGTCTTGAGTCACTCCGGCGCTCAATCCATGGCGAAGGGATGAGTGTAATCGTTTGCATGAATCCAACTGTCGTTCGCTGCAGTGGATATTCGCGTATTTTTAACTGTCGTGGGTTGATTATTTGTTTGAAGAGTGAAGTGGCCAATTATTGCGTTTTAGAACTATGTCAGTGGGTGTTTACATACTAACGGGGATGGACGGGCAAGCACCGATCGCTTTACAGAACTCACTCGTCCCGTTGTGCCTTGGGGTGATCGGTGCGCGCCCCTCTACCACCGTTAATACGCTCTATCGCAAATGACAGAACTGCGAGCCCGTGGCTCAATGGTTAGGGCGTTGGAATTCTAACTAACAGGTAGCGAGTTCGAACTTCGGGAGTTGCATACTTCGGGGTTGGGTGTAGCCGGCTGATGACAGCTATCAAGTCAAAAATAGCCATTTCAGTCACCCTTGTCTTTGTCGATAATGTCATCCCACTGACAACGTTTTGGTTAAATAAGACATCGGTTCTTGCTGTAAGTGAATTTAAGCCTGATCTCATTTCGGAAGCAGGATTATAATACAATCATACTGTAGAAGAGTAACCCTTTTATTAATACACAGTTCGTTGACCACGCGTTTTTCATCATCATCATCATCATCATCATCATCATCATCATCATCATCATCATCATCATCATCATCATCATCATCATCATCATCATCATCATCATCATCATCATCATCATCATCATCATCATCATCATCATCATCCTGGACAGTAGCAGCGGTAGCTACACCAGCATCGTCGTCGTCATCGGCATCTGTCCCCTACGTACGTGTTTAATTTCAGGGATCTGCAGACCCAGCCTTTAGTTTGCGCAGTTATCCTATGTTTTTTTAAAAAAGATGATGACACTCGCAAACCGTACGAAATGTATTTCTTGCCTTTCTTTATTACCCGCAGAGCGTGAAAGCTGCCAGCAATGCATCAGGTGAGCCCCGCCGCACTGTATGCATGCATGCACCGAAAAACACGTTTTCGGATTCATTGCCGTCCATCTGCCTGCCGTTTCATTTTCACATGAAAACGCACTCAGCATGAGATGCTTGTCGCTGAGCAAAAAGCCAATCGGCAGATGCACTGCATCCTTTTTTTCTACCTCAGTACACTACCTCTTTGAAGTCGCTGAGCTCGTAGTAGCAGACAATATGAACAAAATTCATCCTTTAGAAAACTCTTTAAAGACATTTGTTCAACCCTTTACGTCAGCATAGTGGCCACAATTTCCCGCAAATTACACGATCTAAACAAAAGCGCACCCGTTCAGGAATGACATGCTCTGGACAGCAGATGCACTGTTGGTCTTATGCCTACTGACAATTTGAAAGGGTAGATTGCGCCTTGGAAGACGTCGGCCGTCTTCGTCAGCTTTGTTACAACACTTGCGAAGTCCCCACTAGCATCAGTTTCTGACGGAGGGCATAAATCCTTTTAGGTCTGGAGGGCTGTTGTTTGATACGATAGAGCAAAAATTAAATGCCCGTCTGGCCAAAACTACCAATATCGCGAGAATGAATATTGTCTGATATGTACAATGATTAAAGATGTGATTGTTTGGAAAAATATTATGCCAGAACCGTAAGCAAGATTTGTTTAGTTCTCTGAACTACACATGCAGAGTTTAGGATTTGTGGGCTTTTTGTACACAGAGTTTACCGTCATGCAAACTTGCTAGCCGACGTGCCTTCTGTCACTGTATTGACTTACTGTCGTATTCTCTTCCACCCAACCATCACGACAAGAAATTTTGCAACATGCCTAAAATCTCTACCGTTTGCCGACGCTCTACGATATTCTGTTAACTAGAGCGTGGTTTTCTAATTTTACTTAGTGCAGACGAAAACTACAAAATGACTTCTTCCTGGAATACATACGCTTGCATTGCAGCAAGATTTTGCCGTCTGGTCATTGAAATGAGTTTCGTCCTTACAGATGAAGATTAATGCAAACATGTTTGTTAAAGTGCACGTCATTGTTTCTCAAGTCGTGTCTAGTACACAGAAGTCAAATGCTTTCTGACCAGTGGTAACGAAGCGGTTCCTTACTTTGGACCACGCAGTTTGTTGTTTTGCCGTAGTGTTGTCTACATTTACTACGGTAGTCAGGACGAAACTCAGCTACTCCACTGGCCAGTTGGGCAGGAGCCACAAGCTGGGCAGACAGTCTTGAACCATCTGCCTCGCGAATTAAACGCTCAAGGAACGTGCGATGCATGCTATTTAGGCGATAAATGTCACTTGGAGCACGAGGGCTACATGGCTGCTATTCCGAAACACCTGGAATTTTCTCCTGCAAGAGTGTTGCAATTTATCCCGCTCAGCCCTACTGAAGCGTCACTCGTCTCCTCTGTAGTTCGCCCTTGGAGACCACTTATTTTGGCCTAATCTGAAATCGATGGTTTTGTTACTACGCTAGACATTCGATGATAATGACTCTCTGTAAAGGACCTCAATCCTCTGCTATGGTAGCGACGCTGACAGTTCAAAATTACCTTGGTTAATAAGAAGTTTATGCGATCTTTATGAGTGTTACCCTCAGTCATTAAGACCGTTTGGTCTAGGGTCAAAATGCGAGACGGCAATGCACAATCATGTTTTACCTCGAGCCTAACCTGAAGTCAGCGAACCCCAGTCCCATCTAATACGGGACCATTGATAATAGGAAGTTTTACAGGCGCGGCTGGGGAAAGCGCAGGCGACGAGGTCAAGTAGTTGTATGCAAAAGAAAAGCCATTGGGAATGCGCGATTTGACTTGGAATGATTGACAAATAGTTGCGATAACTCCTAACCCTAACCCCTAACTATAACCCCTTATCCTTAACCCTAACCCTAGCCCTAACCCTAATTCCTAGCCACAGCCCCTAACCATAGCCTCTAACCCTTAACCTCAACCTCAACAGTATTGTGTCTATCAGGTGGGGCTACTAAATCACATCTCACCAAGAAATGTTTAAAAGAAAGGGGTTTAATAAGGAGTCTTTTTGTCTGTAAACAAGAAACACAAAGTGCCCTGAGGAGAATATTCAAAAAGGCTGTCAGCTTGCAAAGTGCGGTACTTGTAAAGATGTGATTAAGTTATGCTTAAGGCACCTTGCTTATTTGGATAAGTGAAAATGAGGTTCTTGTTATCATGAAGTCTAATTGTAGTAGGGTTGCCTCGAACTAGGCAATCTGTTCGGGAGTCTTAAAAGATTTTAAATTAATTTTTCTGGGGTTTAGAATCCTTCAGAAGTCACTAATTTTTCTTAGATCTACATAAGTAGGCAAGCAGCGGAATATACAACCCTCTGCGGATTTTTCACAATCATCCATATTAGTCTCACTTACGACTTCCTGAAGAAAAAACGTAAAAAATCTATCTAAACGCTAACATTTGGGTTAGGCTAATTTGCAATATGCTTGCGTATGCTATCTTATAATTCTGAACATCTAGTTGGAAGCTGTGGCCGTCGTCAAATAGTTGTAGGTCATTACTTTTAAAATATATAATCCGATCATATAAAGTTGCAGCTGCTGGAAGCGTCCAGGGTATACTTTTGAAAGTGTTGATTTATGCTTCATCGATATATGTATATACATATATACAGTAGGTGGGCTAACTCGTGAAATGTAAACCGAAAATCCGAAATGTCTTTTCGTTTGGAAAAGATTATTTACGGAGGGTTGCAAAACTAAGCATCTTGCAACGTAATTCTATAAAACTTTAGTTACATCAGGATGCCGGCTTTCGAACGAACTTCTTCCGGCTGCATGCAAAAACTGTACTCTGTAAAAAAGACTACTTATGAAGCATGCAATTTTCTCATTGATTGTTGATGACCATACCCATTTCATTATATTTTATGGAAAACATGCATAAAAATATCCACTTCTTTGCCCATTCGGTAGAAAATGACACCTACGTCCAATTTTATATTCGAAGGAAGGGTACAATTCGGTTTTAGGAAGTTTCTAATTGTGAGATTTCTTAATACCGTGAAATAGCCGTTCATAAAACGTCACGTATCTGCACTTACCAATGTGGCCTGTAAAGTTAACGACATGGTTCAAATCCATTGCTAAATTTGACGAACTTCATATAGTCTCCTCTTAATACCGCATAAAAATGTATGGTTTTCCGTACGCGGAAAATATACGGCTTGCAGTTTGGAAACCCTGGATGCAAGCGTAACGGCAGGTCGAGTACAAAATTATTCGGGAATTGGAAAAGGTCCTCCGAAAACATGCATAAAAATATTCATTTTTTACTTATTCGGTAGAAAATCACGTCTTCTTCCAATTTCATACTCAAAAAAGAGTATAATTCAGTTTTAAAAACTTTTATAATTCCGGAATAATTTTGAACCCGATCTGCCGTTACACTTGCATTCAGGGTTTCAAAACTACAAGCTGTATATTTTCCGTGTACGGAAAACCATGCATTTCTCTACAGTGTTAAGAGGAGACCATATGGGGTTCACAAAATTAAGCAGTGGATTTGAGCAATATTGTTAACTTTACAAGCCACATTCGTAAATGCAGATACATGACGTTTCATGAACGGACATTTAACGGTATTAAAAAATCTCACAATTAGAAACTTTTTTAAAACCAAATTATACTCTTTTTTGAGTATGGAATTGGAAGAGGACGTGACTTTCTACCGAATAAATTAAAGAATGAATATTTTTATGCATTTTTCCATGAAATATAATTGAATTTTCAAGGGCATCGAAAATCAATGAGAAAATTGCATACTACTTAAGTAGCCAATTTTTGCAGAGTATAGGTCTTGCATGCAGCCGAAAATAAGTTCTTTCGAAAGCCAACGCCCTGAGGTAACTGGATCATTATAGATTTATGCTGCATCATGATTAGTTTTACGACACTACTTAATGTATCTTTTCGAAACGAGAACGCATTTCGAAATTTCGGTTGACCTTTCATGAGTTAGCACATCTACTGTATATATGTCTTCGAACGCAGGCATCCCATGAACCATAATTTGTAGGCAAATATGTTCTTTATGAAAAGTGGAAAACTTTATTAAGTAAACCTTCGACGCTGGTTCCCAAGTCGTTTTCAGATTTGAGCAAATTTGCAAAAACCTGCTGAAACATCGATATTCATTTAGAGTTTGCGCCAGTAAGCAGCCGCTGTGTGTCTTCAAATATAAATATGCATATGCCGGCATGAGTCTCGCCATAAATCTCATTATTCTGGTACAACTGCTTTAGCGGCAAAATCCGCTAACAAATGATTACAGTAGTCTATTCAATAAACCCCCTCTGTGCAAAGATTTTCAGGTGGAATAACATTTAGTATACAGCCCCACTGATAAACCTCCCTGAACATAGCGCCCTCCGCCCTCTAAGACACCGGTCCTATCGCACGGTGTTACTTTTCACACAGACGCCTGAATTTACTTTAGAAGAATCGCAAAAAGCCAATTCTATTGGCTCTCCTTCCTAACACATATGCTGCTGTTTGCCTTTTCGCCGTGCTGTACAGCAAAAGAGCCGCCCACACACGTGATTGATAATGCTTCAGCGTTATTTACCTGAGACAGCCTATATTTAGATTCTTCGCGACTGCACACGGCTTCACCGAGAACAAGCCAAAAAAACTTCGGGAGATCTGTAAAATGTGTTTGCCAGAGGGATATTTTCTCCCAATCCCTACCTCTTCTCTTTTAATACAAATTGTTTAGCGTTGTAAGGTTGTAGTCTGACATTCACGGGGAGTGACCGCGGCGGTCAGGAATTTGTGATAACAACTTTCGATTGGACAGAGGCGTCCAATTGAAAGGTTCTCCTGTTTGCTTCATACGCTGCATGCGAGTCGTAAACTCGCATAACGAGAATAAATTATATCACATCTGTTCACTCTTTGGAAACGAAATCGTCAGTGATTCCCGGGGTTTAAATTCAGTCTGATTCATATGAGAACATGTTATTAGAGTCTGTTGGGTTAAGGGAAGCCGTGGGTCCTTCACGCATCACCCGTCGTTTTCCATATTAAAAACTATTAAAATCGTCGTCAACCTACCCGTAGAGGCATGGTCACCTTCGAATATCCAAGGCATTATATTTGCACTTCATGCTATGCCTTATTTTCTAGAGATTTAAGTAAACGACTAAAGCCAAGTAGTTGATCTTCTGCTCGATAAAGCCTGCAGGGAGATTGCACATATTAATGCGCCGAAACTCACCTTACATTCCTTTGTCCCTCTCATGGTCGCACTTGGAAGTCTGGCACTTTGAAAGTTCAGTCCGAGATATTCACACAAAACCGTAATCCCACAAAAAGTGCCTATAACTGATCAAACCTACGAGAATCATATGGTACGCGGGCAAAGTGGAAATAACTTTGGTAACCGGCCTGACAACCATCTACTCACGATAGTCAGGACGATAAAGTCTACGTCTTCAGCAAAATTCCAGGTTGCAGCTGCAAAGAAGCACGCTTTTTGGGTACCGTTAACAGCAAACTGAACTAGTTTGGTTTGTCCCATAGGGACATTATCAGAGTGTTTTTGGAAATTTCGCACAATGGAGGATAATGCGATCCTAACGATAATTTCCAACATCTTCATGATTGAATTACAGTCATAAACTTTCTACTTTAGATTATAAAACACTGAGCTACTTTTCATACTAAGAGACTGCCAGGCCAGATTACCTCTGAACACATGTTCTGTCAAAAATATGAAAGCAACGCGTTTTAATCTGAAACAGAATTGCTTGGCGTGGGACATTTGCAGTATATTCATTCAGTCGCACATCTAAGGATGTTCTGTTAGGTTTCCTCCATTTCGACTTACACAACCTCTGAACTTCCTTTGTTTGACGAGATTGCCTTTGCACGAATGCCCCAACTGCAATGTAGTCGTTTCTTTTGCATGACTTGCATGAGTCTCCAGCGGACCAAGATCTCGCCCCATGGGAAAATCTGCAGCAGGTCAGAAATTCTGACGATTTCTTGGGTCAGCAGCCATCTCCCTCGGATAACAATGTTCCGATACACTTTCCACAGTCTGCTACTCACCTGAGTAATGTTTTGGAGAGGGGTGAGGCCAATCGACCAACGTTAATCCAAAACGTTTCCCCGCTAGCGCCCCTATCGAACTCTACAAATAAGGTGAGAACACTTACTTTGCATGAGTATGACCCTTAGAGCGTCAGCATTCACATAGTCCATAAGGGCAGTGTAAGGCTCTCTTTCACTATTTTAGAAGAGATTTTCTCATGAAGTTACCTCAAAGCAAATTGTAAGGTCAACTCTCAAACGGATCTGAAAGGGCCTTTTCCCGGCTGATCTTTAGAGAGAGTGATACAAACAAATCAGAATGAGTGTATTTTGTAAAAATACGTAGAAATGAATAATGAAGAGGATGAGAGAAGGTGGATGTAGAGAGGAGGTATCTAACTACGTATTCAATTTTCTTTAATTTCCGAGGAATTTATCAGCACAAGACCAATGTGTTCTGGCGATTAAAGCAGCGAATAGATCAACGAAATCTCAGATTCCGCCAAACATGCGCTTGACATCTTGTTTGGTAGACATGAACGCATTTTTTGGGGCATAAATTTATGATGTTCAAGAATCTGGCACAATAACTACTGTGTTAGAGTCCCCTTTTTGCTAGAACTGGCCCCGATGGTTCTGAATAAAACAGAGCTTTCTGTAAAGAAACATTGCACAGGTGTTCCTCAGTGGCATAGGCTTTTAAGTAAGGTTCTTTTATCGGTCTGACGGCAGGAATAACTTCAGAAAATACTGATCATCTCTTAAATTCAGAAAAGGTGATCACAGACGGTAGAGCCGGATATTAACGACAGGTCATGTAAACACAGTGATTTCGTCGTGGCGTTCTGAATTGGAATTACCGACCTAGTCGTCCTTTGTACTTTTCGACTGTCCTTCCGAGGTTAAAATGTTACAAGAAAAAAGAAGACGATTATCTAAAATTCAACCAATTTATGGGTAACTTGACCAAAAAACCAGGAACATAAGTACTCTGACAAAAGTGAGGACTGTTTTAACGATGTAGAATTTGATGTTTGCCATCAACTTCATCATGCTTTTCGAGAAAGCGCGGATGGTTCTTGTTGCGTAAAGTGCTATCATTAGGTTAGTGAGATAAATACGATACAACTTGAAATAGCTACTCCCCCATGATTGTCACGTCCAGTGACACCAGGTAGTCAAAAACATTCTACTCGCCCATTATTTCTGCGGTCTCAAGACAATCGATATTTAGAACAAACAGTTTTTCACTTTGTGACAATATCCGTCACCAGGTGCGCAATATAAATTGTCAATGGTGGCTTAAAATCTGAACTTACTGAGGATGCGCCGCCAGCGCTCTAGAATTTTTTGTTATTTTAACGACTGATATGTAAAACAAACATTTCCATTACTGCGACGCAAATGGAAGGCCATAATTGCGATTTCTAGGCCCCTAGTCACGACTATGCCCTGGTCAAAAACACAGTGCGGTATCTGTCTGGCGTGCTGGGTTACCAATCTGCGCCGTTATGGACATCCGAGTCATAGTTCTTAGGCAGCAGATATGCACGGGAACTAATAAGTGCCCGCCCTCTTCTTAATTGCGGCTCAATCCCGTCTGTGCTCCGAGAATAGTGATAACATGGGTATTTTAAGAGATGCTTACTTGAATATGTAGAAAAGAAGAAAAGCCGTCTTTGCGCCGGAGCTTGTTGTAGTGTGTTAAAAAGGGAACTTTGCAGATAAACCTAAGTTGCTGTGGAACGGCTAAGGCTAACTGAGATTTGACAATGAAATCTTTACACAGGACGCCAATTTTAGACGTCATTCTCTATCCTGCTTTCAGCTTCTTCATACCGAGTTTTCTTAATTCTATAAGTTTAAGAATTCTCTACCTAGACCTATGTCACGGTGGGCTGTTAATTATTTCAAGTTTAGTCATTTCGCCTTTCCAAAGAGCTTTATATATTTATACCTCTGTATATGATCACAGTATGCTCAAGCTTTGAAGGAAGTTTTGTTCCTCTTACAGTTAACCATAAGTTGCAAAGCCTGCGGAAAATATGTCGACATCAAGGAGAGGATGGAACTGCTAAACGACATCTTCCATCGGTTCTGTTTCAAGTGCGCAATCTGCAGGGAAGACCTCTCGTAAGTGTTCCCATGTCTTCTTCCATTTCGAGGATTGAGGCAGTTGGAGAAAATGGTCACAGTAGAAGGGTGCGTCTACCCACCTTCAATGGTCAAAAACGTCAAGAACTCGTCGTTCTCTTTCGTACGCACACTCAGAATTCTTATAAAAAGTTTCACACTTCCTTTGGCTCTCATAAGTTCCGTGACTTCAAGAACATGGGAATGGAAGAGGATAAGACTGGACTGCCGTATTTCTTTCAGAAAAATCAGCCGATATCAAAAATAGTTGAAACGTATCTAGTATCACAGTCAGGTGGCTTTCACTGATGCTTCCTGGATGCAGGGTACACACGGACCTTCCAGAGTGCCATGGCGCTCCGCTCTAGAACCTGCGCGGTCCGTAGCATGGCCGCAAGGTATTGATCTAGGATTCGAGCGTGGTCGGTAGAATATGGCAAATAAAGCAGAAATGGCCAATTCAGTTCGCCTAGTCTCCGTCGTCAGTAATTTCTCCTTATGGTTTAAGACCTTAAACGAAAGGTCAAAGTCTTAGACGGTCTAGCAATTAATCTTGAAAACCAATGCCATCGGTCTTTGAATAAAAAAAACCGGGCGCACCAAAGACAACTGTTTTCTTCCTTTTCAGGGTTAAAAAGTCCACGGGTGTTACACATCCTTCGCATTTGATCTCTCCCTTAGTCTGGGTGGCTTGTAAGACCATTCCTTGATAGCGCGACTGTCGTTGACTGCGTCGGAATTAGAGGCGTTGGGAAATGACTTATCTTTCGGCTATCTCCAAATCATACGGCTACCCGAAGCCTATAATGTCTGTTTAAGGCGTTGACTTGCCGCCGTCCGATGCGATTATCGAAGACATCACTGTTACTGATCTTAGGCCTAATTACTAGATGACGGATGAAGTTAACATATACGCTTGCTCTGCATTTCCCGTCAAAAACAAAACTGAATCTGGTTGGGGGAGGAAGTTTTTGCAGTCATTACCATCTACACCGCACACTATAACTTTACCGCATGCCACTATGGTTATAAAATTAAGGTAGATTAAACACAGTCGGGACCACGAGCATATTGCTCCGTATCGACACTTGATAGTCCCTGAGCATGATTTTCGCCATGCATTCTTATCCAATTTAGGTTATTTTAAATGAAGGCCTCACACTTAAATGAGCAGGTGGCAAAAATTTATCTTAAGAAGCTCATAGTATCAAGGTTACATATAACCACTGCTTAATGTAATGCAATACGGGCTTTCGGTCAATACATGCACCAGATAGGCCAACGTACCCCGGAAAAGTGTTTTTTTTTAGATAAGAGCAATACGGTTTCATTGAATGTGTGCGCTGTTTGCAAGTAGCCTCTTTTTAAGAGTTTGCAAAACGGCGGGTTTTTTCATAAAAATATAAACTGGGAGCCAAACAAGTGTGTGATGCGCATTAGGAAGTGGCCTTGCGCCACGCCAGCCATTATGCCTAATTTAATCCACATTCGGCCGACCTTGGACGTCGCATTGGGTCACGATGGGGCTGGTCGATCCAGCGTGAGCACTCCCCACCGTAAGGAAAATCAAATGCACTTTTAGATTGACAAGACATCGTAAAAGTATTTACTTGAAAGGCCACCAAGTGAAGGAATAACACGGCTTTTCGGACCAAAGACCACCCTTCAATATCGTATAGATTTTGCGAGGTAAATTACCACATCCGTGACTATATCCGGTAGTCTCGACTCTCTGCCGATATTGATAGGTGCAAGAGGAGATAGATAAACGTATTTTCGTAAGGCCCTCTCAATTTAATCTAAACCACGCGTCATCTTTTGCACCAGACAATGCTCGTTGTCAATGTCTACGACGGGCAACCTACCGACTGGTTGATAATCTGGTTGAATCACCTTCTTTAAAACCCTTTACGCCGATCGGATATCGTAGTCGATCAGAGACTATGAAATGAAACTGACATGAGGAAAATAGTTAAGTATGCAGATAACAGACACACGGTATTACTAAAGTATGTCTTTAAGTTTGATGATAGAAATACGGCCCGCTTGGATATCCGAACTAAATCGCCTCCTGTGAATGGCGGAATATGGCTTACCATGAAATGGGCGTCAGAGAATGACTGAAACTTTTGAAATGCTAGTTTTAATGTACTAGCACGCCAACGAACGGAATAAATATCGGAAATTATCGGTTGACAGTGCGCTGTCGCTTCAGACCACTTCTTTTTCGTCAACATAATGTTTTCTGGCTGGTGTAGCGACACTATTATCTTTTCAATTTGTTAAAGCTAATGATGAATGGTCACTTACTTCAAACCAACCTTTCCCATCTTCCAGTTCCACCAATGCGATATTTTGCAACAACAAATGGACTTGCGAAGTTCATTCCGAATTCAAATGGCCCGCTCACTCAGACCAGATCTCCGAACTTCTCCCTGTTTAACCCAACTATCGAATTATAGCTGCACCCTAGAGGATCTACGATGCTCAGCGGAAAACCCGATATCTGCATTCAGCATGAACTGAACGCTGGATTTCGTGCAAAATGCATGAACGCAATGCAAATGAGCATTTATCTGCATGTGCAATGACAATTTTATTATAGACTGACCGATTTTTTTTATCGATTTCTAGCTGCAGGTAAGCCAACCGTCGAACAAGAGGCAGGTTTACGTGAACACAAATAAAGTATGGTGATGAGCCCGGCTGGTATTCTGTTTCAGAAAAATAAGTTGACTTATACTTTGTGCATTTGTTTAGCAACTTTAAGGGTCAGTGTACACGCTTGGTGTGATTAGGTGTAACTAATCACCTGCAAAATAACTTAACAATTTTAAAATCTGCAACCATAAACATTTTGGGGGACGATGGCATCTCATTCTGCCGTGTAAACTAGCATTCTTATGTTCTTTGATCACATTCGGTTCCCAGTTTATAGCGGCATGGCGGTCGGCACAGGAGACCTGATAAAAACCAAGCCCGTAGTCCTCAGAAAATGAGGCAGTCGCATACTCATGGATTTGTTTGTTAAGTATTGGAACGCCCTTACTCAAGTCGTTCCCTTTAATGTCCATTAAGTTTCGACAGCGCTTGCTTCAACGGGTGCCATAATTCCGATAACGTGGGCCATTTTGCAATTTCACAGTTCCTGCACCGTTGAAAATTTATCTTCATCAATATGTCAGTCCTTGGAATTATATTCACACACGAGGGATGATTGATTTTATCATAAGAAATTCGGTATAGGGGTTACAGTGAAGCTGAAACGAAACCTCGGCAGACCTGCTGGTCTGAGTTGACTTGACTTGCATCAAAGATTACCTAAACATAAGAAGCTAAAGGTGATCGACGGTCAGAATTTCTTCCCAGAAGTCGTCGGACAAAGACATCCATGTCCGCAAAATATTTGTTGTCATTTACGATGTTTTAGGAAAAAGCAGACTTATATCCTCCCGACTACTACTAGCAATCTCTGGCTCCGTCAGGAACGGGATTCGTACCTCCACACCTTATTGACGGGTTGCATTAAGCATCCTCGATGAAGAAGAATTTTTCGTCATACAGGGTTGATTATGATCATACAAGAACCTGCAAACTCTGGGTATTTTATTCATTCTGAAGGAGTGGGCAGATGCGCGCTAAGTATTTCATTGGGACAACATTTTCGCCTAAGGTCTTTTTGGCTATGTCTGGACGCCGGGCCCAGATGGAGGAGGAGAGACTGCAGTAGATGCCGTGAAAGTCTACTGCTACCATAAACGGATTCACGTAAAAGTCACCGTGCCTAATCTCAACCCATTGTGAAGTGCACGGTAGGCATTGTCAGTGATAACGGTCGAGCCGTCATTTTCACCCACGGAGTTGACTGCCTGCATCGGCCTTGAAAGTTGTAAAAACTCGTGACAAAGTCGTTTAAAGACTCATCTGCTCTTATAATCCAGGCTATCAGACTGGTTTATTTATTCCCAGCTCTTGAACATATAATGGAATAGTGAATTTTCCTCCAGCTTTCAGCTAATTTTTCAAGTTGTCTTTCACTGATACTAGGCTTCTTTAAATTATGTCTGGAATCGAACCCTTTCGAGTAGCTCCCTACTTCATTATTCTGATGCGCTTGTTTTTTGAAAGAGTTCAAGAGTCCATATTTGGAAGAACAAACTTGATTTCAAAAGAGTTTGGCGAGCATATAGGATGTTGGCATTTGTAAGGTATGTAAGTACTTGAAAAGTGTTAATGGCAGATGGGAGGACGTTATAAGTGCTGCTAATGGGTCATTTCCATTGGTAGGTAGTGACACTCCAACCCCAGTCTGCACGTTTGATTTGAGTCACTTGATTACTGAGTTAGTTCTTCCCCCATTCGCTCTGGGACACAGTCCATTTGGCCGCATTTGGGAGCATTTAGTGGTACAGTCACGCCGCCCTCAGTTGTACTTTAGAGTAATTTACGTGTGTGAACGTTGAGGCCGATGAACTGCCAAACGCAAAAGAGCTGGACCTAGTTTTCAAACACGTAAACCTTCGATAAGTCCAGCTTAGATTTGGCGCCCAAAGACCATTAGGAAGAGCTTGAGCGAAAAAAAAATGATCCTCAGCATCATTTCAAGGGTTTGGTTGATGTTACGGAGTTACTTTGTGCCCCTACAACGTGCCAAGCGTGAGGTGCGCTTAGTCGACACGGAGATTAGATTAGGGCACGACACGCGTCAGCAGGGTTAAGAAGAGTCCGCACAACCCATAACAAAGGCCACACATGGAGGGTGTGGTAGAAGGCCTAGACGCAAGCACACGCGCACCGGTCACTTGCACCCAGCCCAAGCACCAGAGGTTTGGCCGGCCCAGATAGGGGACTGGCGCATGGGAGTAGGAAGTTGGGGTGTAGTAGACCCTGAGGACTCCGTCCCACGGCAATTCAGCGGGTCGGACGTGGTCATGTAGCTCCAAATGAAGTCAGCAAACCCCAGTCATCTCTAATGTGGGACCGGTGGTAGTAGGAGTTTTTAAAGGTGGGGCCGTGGAACGCACAGGCGAAGAGGCCAAATAGTTGTATGCAAACGAAAAGCTATTGAGAATACACGGTTGTACTTTGTGTGGTTGAGAAGTAGTTGAGCTAACCCCTAACCCTAATCCCAACGCCAACAGTATTGTGTCCATCAGGTGGGGCTACCAAACCACATCTTACTCTTCAGCGCATTCTACAATATGACTGATCGGCAGCGTTTTGATGCCATCCCGCTGCGCTAAACGCTGTGGTTTAATGTTTTGCAAACTGACGGGATAAATCGCTTCTCGCAAGGCGGGGGGTCAGGCTGTAGTGGCGCCTTCTAAGTGCAGCTCCTATGACACTCTCAGTCAGATAGTGCCCAAGTCAGTCAGTTTATTTCTTTTAACACTTGGTACATCGTACGCGGACGAGGCTTGTGGGACACCAGTAGGGGGGAGACGTTTAGTTTTGCCCACCACTACCTTCCAGCCCCCCTCCAATCATCCTGAATCAGTCCTACCACCGGGCCCAGGAGGGTGAGGGAGGAGGCAGGGCAGCAGAAACAGTGTAAGTCCGTTTCCGAAATCCGTTCACTGCCCACCTGCTGTGGAGCACACGGTGGACATCGTCGCTCACGACGATTGAACTGGCGTGTTTCCTTTGTTTTTATCTGAGCTTTAGAAGTGTAGGTGCTTTTAAAAGAAATATAATTCTACTTGCAGTAAGTAGCGGGTGTTAAAAATGACTTCGTTTAGAGATGAAAGTAAGGCGCCTTATGCGACTTTCACCCTTTCGAGACATCTGGTTTTCTAGTTGTGGTGGGAGCAAGTACATTGGGTTACAATTACGAAATAAATTCTTTTGAAAATAGGTTTAGAGCTTCAAGCCAATATTTTACAAGTGCATGGGCTACATTTTAGTTGTAGTTGGTAAGTGCACACCAATTAATCACCTAAGGAGAAAGAAAAGTGTGTGTGTGTGTGCCTCTATTGGTAATAGATGCGTGCCGCGGCCGAACGTACTTTCGTCTTGTTGCAGCTGCAAATAACTCCGAGGTATTAACTTTGGTGCAAACAAGCTCACTGTTTAGTATTATATTTTTTGCATGAAAGATCTTCATGAAAACGTCCACACTTTAGGGACACTTACTCGATCGCTATTTTGCCGTTCTCTATTGACGATTTTCCATTCAAAATGATTATATATGTATGTATTTATATGGGTATATATCAGGAAAAGAACATTAACGTAGTCCATGTATTGAATGAAAGTAAAATATATGTTTGATGTTCAGAAGCGGACCACTTGGCACATAATAAGCAGACACATAAGCCTTACAAGTGACGCGGCATTGATGTTCGCCGACCCATCTTTATTCAAGAATGGAATACGCTGGAGTCCGTTTTGCCTTGAAATTCCGGTTTAGAATCAACGCAGGCGATTGCATGGTGGCAATCGATTGGTTAGGGTAAAGCGTTGCCGTCAAGAATAGAAGATAATGGCATGGTCATTGCTGTCTTATTCCTCGCTACCAGCCAGCTGTGACTGAAAACTAGACTGGAAAGAACCGACAGCCCTCAAGACATCAGCCAGTGATACAGCGTTAATGTATTTGCCATAATGCACAGGGAGTGACGAACCAGTATTCGAGACTTCAGTCTTCCTAATTTGAAGCTGAGTAAGACAAAAAACAGAATACTCGATCTGGGTTCTATTGTCTTTGCATGTAAAACTTCAAAATATTTGAGAGCTTGTAACTAGTGTTGAGTTTGTAAAAATGCATATGTCCGTTCGACAATTGTAGGTAATCGTTTACACTCTGAACTTTGCGATAAAATTAAGGTTAGAGAATCAAACCCCATTTATCACTTGGATTTTACAATTAACTGACTGGTTAGAAGAAAAACGTTCTTCTTTATGTTGATTGGTAAATATTTACTGCCACAAAAATTCCTGCAAACTAAATCAAATTTCTGTAGGCTGGCATAAGCGGGGATGTTGTGAGCTACTGAGATATTTTATGTCATGTTGACGTCTCTGAATTTGGCTTCCTTTAGGGTCATATTCGTGATTAATATTTTTAAATTTTGAGTAAGACCGAAAAAGTCCATGACCATTGAAAATATTTCTCTATTTGTTACAGTCTTGTAACGCCTACAAGAGTTCCCTGTCAGGTATCCAAGACGGTAGAGCTAGTCAACGACCACTGCTCAAAGCCGGGAACTGATATTTACGGCTCTATATGCAGATGCAAAATCAGTGTACCACTAGTCTGAGTTCACACCGGCGATGCGGACATAAATAAGCGCAGGACTAATTCCGCTCTCAGGTTCAACGGCTGTTTACGTTGCTGTAAAGCAGAATCCATATGTCGCTTTGAGGATCTGGACGGCGGCTTGTATAGGTGATCCCAGCGTCTCGTAGCTGGCAAGGTCCAGGTTTTCCTGGTCTAGTGAATAT